AGTTAGGAAAATTTGAAAACTTAAATTTGGACATGTTTTGCAAAAAGTGTAGGGAAAATGTAAAAACGGCTATAACTTTTGCATACGATATCGGAGAAAAACGTATAATATATCAAAAAGTCCAGCACGAAAATCCGCATCCAATTTTGACAGCCTACAGTCTGTTTGCAATTTTTTAGAATTCTCAAATTCCAAAAGGAAAAAAAATATGCCCAAATTTCAGTTTTTTTAATTTTGGTTAAATCTGGTCAAACTACTTATTCAAGAAGTATTAATGTTACTACATAATTAGTCAAGAATATTAGTGTTACTAAATAATTATTTCAATTTTTTGAATTTTGGTCAAATCTGGTCAAACTATAGTCAAACTGTGGTCAAACTATGGTCAAATTTATTCAAGAAATATTAGTGTTACTAAATAATTACTGTTTTTTAGAATAATAGTTTCAAACTCAAACGGTGAAACATGTGACCTAATGCTCAAGCTAAACTGCTGAGGGTTAATAGGATTGACAGCTTACATTTGTCAGGAAAACAACAAGTGCAGACTTGGAAAGTAGGGGGAATAGAACTCCGAAGTTAAGCGTGCTCAGGCTGGGGGAGTGAGAGGATAGATGATCAGTCGGGAAGTTAGATGATTTGGAATGAGTGATCCACACTTTGAGCAGTTAAGAGGGGTGATTAGAGACTAAATCATCAAATAGTCCAGAGAATCAAAAATTAAAAAAAAACAATTTTTTTCAAAATTAAAAAAAAAACCTTTAGTACCGGTTGGTAACATCAACCGGTACTAAAGGTCCCCCATACCACGACGTGAGCTCACACCACGTGGTGGGCCTTTAGTAGCGGTTCATGCCGAATCGGTACTAAAGGGGGGGGGGGGGCTTTAGTGCCCACACTTTAGTGCCGGATACCGAACCAGCACTAAAGGGCCTTACGAACCGGTGCTATTGCCCGGTTCTGCACTAGTGTCCCATACCCAGGTCCAATTGCTCCGCCTCCTCTCACATCCCTCTCAAAAACAGGCTTTCGCTCCGCTTTATAGATAAAGCAACAACCGAAGAAGTACATGCCGAACAATACATGATGGTGAGGTAGCCCTCTCTGATCTGGAGAAATCCGGCACATGCAGAACACACACAATTATGCTACCAACAACAAGTATCAGAAGAACTAAACACCCTCATGCTACAACCTAGCACACCTAAACTCCTCGACAGCGCCCCTAAGAGGGATAGTGGTGGGAGCGTTGCCACTGTC